ACAAAAAATGCTCTAGATCTTGATTGTGGTGGTGGTTACTCTAGGGTAAGGTTAAAAAAAAAAAAAAAACCCACTCAAATACTTCTTTCCCTGACAAACCCTCCTTAATGTACTAGTCCAGGCCCTAATCACTTTGTTTCTGGGTTAATGCAAAAGTCTCCTGGTTGATTTTCTGTCTCTGAGCTCTTCTCTAATTCCTCCTTAATGTGCCCATGCTCACCCCCTCTGGGACCCCTTCAGTAAACAGGCCTAGAACAGTGTATGTTGCCATTTGTTTAATAAAGAGGGAAAGAAATGAATGTGCATATGCTAGTATGTTTACTTATTTGTGCCTAAAATAGGTCTGGAAGGATATATGAGAAAGTGGTTACATTAGTTACTCTAAGAGGAAGGGAACTGGGTGGCTGGGGACAGGGTGGAAGAGATGTTTTTCATTATATAGCCTTTTGTTCCTTTTGAATTTTACATCATGTGGATGTATTACCTAATCAGAAATAAATAAATAAAATGTAGGAAATAATAAGAACCCTGCCAAGTTCATCTATTCATTCAACAAATATTTACTGGGCACCTACCACTTACCAGGCATATAGCAGAGTTAACGTGTCCATAGCCATGATTGTGTTTCATCAGCAGGATCCTTCATAAACAGTGCGTCACAAGCCCTGTCTGCTTGGTTAGTTTTAAAGCTTGCTTATAGGAGATAGAATGTGCACTGGTTAATTACAGTGGTCATGGCTGGCATATGATTTAGGAAAAAACAAGGTCAGGGTCAATTATGCTACAAAGGATCTCCTTCCATATACTGAAAAGACACAAAAAGGTATAGAGTAGCAAGGATATCAGATAATACCTCATAACTAACATGTACTGAGCATTAATTTTCTGTGTGCCAAACATTCTTCTGAGTACTTTACCTGTATTAACTCACTTAGGTCTCATAATAACTTTGTAAGGAAGACACTATTATTGCCCCCATTTCACAGATGAGTAAATTGAAGTACAGAGAGAACAAATGACCTGACCAGAGTCACACAACTAGTAAGTAGGATGACCAGGGTTTGAACCCAGGTGATGCCTAACTCCAGAACCCCCTAGTTTTAACCTCTTTACTGCTTTTTGGGAAATGGATTTATAAATCTCCCTTTGCTCCAAAATATCTGTTGAAATTCTATCATTAATAAAAGTGTCATAGAATTTTACAGCTAGCAGAGGCCTCAGTATGCATTGGATTCAATTTTTATCCAAAGGAACAACATCCTGGACAACTTAGCTTGAACACCTCTCACGATGAGGAACTCATTACGTCCAGAAGCAGTCACCAGCTGACAGCTCTAATTATTAATAAAAACTGTAAAATGTTGATTGCCTTTTGTACCAGACATTTTGCTAGAGCATGGGGTAGAAATTCTTCAATATACTGGGCCCAAATCTGCCTCCCTGCAACTGCTTCCCACTGGGTCTGTGGTCTGCTCTTTGGAACAACACAGATTGTGTCTGTGGTTCCCTGCATGTCATGACATCCCCATATATATTTGAAGACAGCTACAAAGTTCTCCTTAGATTTTATTTTTCCCTGTTTATTCAATCTGTTCTCAGATCACATTCCCTAGGTGAGATTCATTTTTCTTATTAACAAGCTTCTGTTTGAAAATGCAAATGTGGGACAGTAGCATATTAAACCTAATCTGATGCCTCCCTGCCACTGAACTGTCTTGAGAGAAAAGGAGTTTCCATCTGGGGAAAGGAGCAGGGAGGGTGTTGAGAAGAGAGGTGACTCGGAGCATGGTTCGACTGCTAGCACAGGTTTGGAGTGGGTGTTGATACAGGATCTCCAGGTGGGCAAAAAGCATCACAGTGATCGTGGGCTCCCAAGACTAAGGAAGGAGACATGCCAAGAGTTAAAAAACAGCAATACTGATGAACACCTGTTGAGCACTGGCTTTATGCATGCTTAGGGCAGTTAGCTTTCATCACCTTGCTTTAATCCTCACAACAGGGTCACCAGGTAGGTGCCATTATTATCCACATGTTACAGATTGAGTAATATGAGGGCTGGAAGGGGAAATAACTTGTTTAGAAAAAGGCAGTCCAGTTTTGAAGTCAGCAGCCTAAACTTTTCCTTAACTACTTTGATGAAAGGATGATGAAAACCTAACTTTGCCAGCTTACCCCAAAGCTGATTAGTAATTATCCAAATGGAACTCAGATGCCTGAGACTTCCACAGTCTTAAGGAGTTCCGCAATATCCAAATAATGACCCCCAAAAGTCCACTCTTACACCAGGTTTCTGTCCTAAGTATTTGAGTCCTCGAGGAGTGTTCCATGCTCCATCGGTCTGTCTTGGATGTTTTTGACTATCTCAGTGAGCCTGCCTCTCCACTTCTGTCATGATGAAACCCCTGTACTGCTGAACCTCATGAACAATTAAGACCAGACTGAAATGTTTAATGAGGCTTTCCCCGAGGATGCCTTATGGAGCAAGTCTCACGTGCAGTTTCCAGCCAGGTTGCAGGGATCAACCTAAAATCACTATAGGTTTACCCACCACCTCCCACACAGTCAACCAATAGACTTTGTGAGCCCACCACCTCCTACAAAAGTCAGACTCAACAACTGTGACACTTCCAGAAGGTAAAACCTTATTTGCAAAATTGTAGTGCACCCAAGGGGAAGTTACACGAACAGATTAGTATCTCAAGCCTCTCTGTTTCTGGATAGGATCTTGGCTTTACCATTGCATAACCAAAGAGTCCGTTAATTAAGGCCCTAAAGGGTGCCCTCATCCTCTGCAGAAACTGAAAACTGCATAGCAAGTCTCAGCCAGGGCCTCATTACACAACATACAATCACAGTTAAAATATCGCCTTTAAAAAAATACAAACCAATTCTTTCTAAAGAGGATACATTTCGGATAAACAAAGGCATTTTCTCATTTGTATAGAATCTAGGTTCATTCAGTGTGGAGAACCTTGCCTTAACTCTTACAAGCAGTTTGTTAAACCTCATTTTATCATCTGGATATTCCTTCTGAATGATGATGATTATAACTGAGAATTATTTGTACTTTAAGAATCTGTGGAAATCTCCAAAGATCCAATACTATTGGATTTGCAACCACAAATTAACAAATGCTAAGATACATTGAAATTGGCTCTAATAGTGTCATTTTAAAACCATATACAACTTTGAACTTGTGTGAATGCAACTTTGACACTGATGAACATTTCCAGCCTCTTCCTGGCAGAAGTGAGCTGGAGAATGAAAGAACCAGACACCAGAGGGACCTGCAAGAGGGGAAATGAAGGTGTGGTTTCGGTGCTTGGCTTCAAAGGCTAGCGGCAATCATGGGTCTAACCCCATCACTTTCCAGCTAAACCAATTTTCTGTAAAGACAGAAAAACCCCAAACGGCCGATGTCAAATTTCCCCTGCATCATTTTTAATTTAACAATGTCCCAGTTTCCAAGCTGTCGTCATCTAGTCTTTGTAAGTACACTGATGAACCAAGCACAGGCAGGGGGAGGGAATGGCTAGAGTGTACACCTCAGACTCTCCAGCTTGGGGTCTAAGTTTTCATTCTTTTCACTGAAGTTCTAGCTCCTTGATGAACTTGTTCACCCATTCCATTACTATCAAGGCCAGAAATGAATAGACTAGAGAAAAGATTTTTTCCCCCTACCAATAAATCATTCAGTAAATAGAATTGAAACCCTCCAATCTTGACAGCTGGTTGCACATATGAGCTCTGGTGTGTATAATCAGCTAGTTCACATTTTCATGGTTCTAGGATCCTTTTTTTTTTTTTTAAGATTTTATTTTTAAGTGACCTCTATACCCAGCATGAGGCTCGTACTCACAACCCTGAGATCAAGAGTTGCATGCTCTTCCGACTGAGCCAGCCATTCATACCTCAGATCCTCTTATAATAGATCTCCTTCCCTGTGTGCCTGTGCTCAGCCAAGGGCATAGGCCCGGAAGCTTCTCTCTGCTGCCAAACACACATGCGCACATGCACATATACACACACACATTGGGCATACACATTCCACCTAGTGGCCTCAATAAAAGACCGTTCCTTTGGGGAAGGAGGGTTGTTAACAGAGACAATAAAATCACTATAGAAATTTTCTAGACAAATTCATATTCTAGACTTTGATCTTAGGCCAAATAATGAAAATCGTAAAAACAGATCGAGAGCCAAATTCCCCTTTTAGACAAAATGGTTTCTCCTGAAATCCAGATTGACTAATTACTCCATATAACTAATTTGTTTTGAGTCAAGGACTCCTAGGGTCTTTGTAAAGCTCCCTTGCGTTCACTTATAATGGAGGTATGCTCACTACCTCAGAAGGCAGCCCATTTCAAAATTTTGGCAACCTATAGAGTTAAAAAGTTCCTCCTTAAACTGAGCAAGATTGACCTCCCATAGTTTTCACCAATTTGGTCTTATATCTACCCTCTGGAGGGACACAAAATAAACTTAATCCCTCTACTAGACAGCTAATCTCTTTATATGATTCTCTTAAAAGAAATTGTGGTGACTCAGGCTACAATCCTATGAAGGATATAATAAACCCAATACCTTTCCCTCCTCCCTGCAGTGGCAGAGTAAGCCTAGTGAGTATACTTATCATGCTGGGAGAGGGGAAAATGCTCCTCCCTGGCAGGCCTTGGATGAGAGTCTGGCAAAGGGTAGTGCTGGACAGACAGGCTTTCTCAGATTTTCCTCTCTGTTATGATAACCCGCAGCCTTCTGCTGGCTAAAGTACATGTCTGGCCCCAGAGATTCTCCTCTTAGTCTGGGTCAGAGGTCCAGGGTTCTTACGTGTGCAATAGAATCCTGGGAGTTCTCTGCAGGGCCCCACCCTCCAAGATTTTGATTTAGTAGAAATGAAACAGGCCCGGTAATTCCGTATTTTAACAAGCGCTCCAGGTGCAGATGTCCTTACTACATTTGAAGAAACATCAAACTAAGTGAAGAAAGAGAAGTAAAAAAAATACTGTGCATTTTGGTTTTATTTAACTGGAAAGCACACATATTCAACATTTAGCTTATTGAAGTCCTATCCATTTAAATTAAGTTATTAAATTGCATGTTACTAAATAATAAAAACACTTTCAGTCACTTATTATTCATCTAATACTAATCATTAAGTCTGTCAAAATTCCCTCAGAATGAGGGAATGAAGAGTCTGCAGGTTACAGACTGATAAACTGAAGTGTTTGTTGGGAAGCATTCAACGTGGGCCTTAAGAAGGGAGCCAGTCTTCTGCATTGCAGCCTATTGCCTGTCTCAGGTTGGCCAACAGAGCAGGGCATCAGGCCAGATTTGAGGAACTTTACAGGGAGAGTACACTTTGGTCCAACACTTGGCTGATCAATCTCGTGATTGAAGTTAACATAAAAATCACACCTGCATAAGCACCACCGCATACATCCATGCAAGTCTGTGGGAATTCTAATAAAGCTATAGAGGGTTCCAGTACACAGGTTACAACAAGTTACAACATTTCACAGTAGTCTAAATACCTGGGGAGTTTAGTTATGCAAAGAAAACCCTCCTTCCTTTGAGAACAACAGCTTATGTCTTTTCAAAATAGCTGCTGTGGTTCTTTTACAAATATAAAGGCTGTCTTGTCTCTAACTCAGCCTTAAAGTAATGCTATCCCAAGGCAGCCCCAGTAACCTTGTTTTCTTGTGACAAAGTGAACCCATGCTCTACTCAGTAAGTTAGCACTTAGTAAATTGACTAAAACAGTTGAGCAACAAATTTAGTAAAAGATTTTGGTGACAGGAACTTACTTTCCTATTAAGACACTTCATGCATGTTTGTTGTAAAATAAAATTATTTTAGAATAAATGCAGTGAAGGTATCTAACTTTCATTTTCTGTCAGGGATGAAGACTTTCACTGGTTCGCTGACCTTCCTCTTCTTCCTGGAGCTCTGAGAACTTTGCTGACTGCACACAAAATTCATTCTTTGAATCTGTGAGAATCACCAGAGAGGCACAATTCAGCAGAGATTTTGACGTCTGCACAAGGCATATACAAGACAGGTAGACCAAGCATTAATCCCTCTAGCTGCATAACGGATCCAAACCTGCTTTCCTGTGGACTGGTTTGGCCCTGCACAGAGGCCCTGCTGCCAGTATCAGAGTCTGGTATTCCAAATTTCAGGAGCTGAGGTCCCCTGGAGGCAGCCAGTTTCAGGGACAGTTTCTTGGCTCCCTTCAGTGAATTCAGCACATCCAACTCTTAAGGGAAGAGTTGTCAAGGTGTGGGGCCAACAAGGAGCAATTAAGGGTCAGGAGAGATCTAGGGCACTGATTACTTTAGAAGCAAATATAATTGAAGTCCCAATTTCAGTTAGCAGCAACATACAGCCTTATCTTTCCTATCATATGTTCAGATTAATCAATTGGGGAGGACATGACCCTTCTTTCTGCTGGAAGAGAAGTGTATATTATTGATTAGAGGGAAGTTAATTAGTGAACCATCATGGATATATATTTTCCCATTGGGCTCGGATTTAGTAAAGATTTTAAAGCTTATTTTTGCTTAACTGAGAGAAGAACTGGATGTGTTATAATCTTGCAAACAATCCCTAATGACTGTAATTCCAAGAAACACAGAGTTTTTATATTTTCCAGCCACTAGATGGGAGGAAAGGTTTTTCAATATCCTCTCTTCTTTCTTTGGTAGGAAAATGGAATAAAACATATTTTTAAGCAAGATTTGTCAGAATATCTAATAGAGGTTTCTAACACCATCCTGTTTTCTGTTATAGATGTAAGTTTTTGTTATTATTGGTATGTTACTACTATAAAATAGTAGGAGTGTCAAGAAAGCACTTAGGTACCATTTAGAACCAAAGATTGGGTCTACAAATGGCTACTTTAATCACTGTTTTTCTTTAGTTTTAGAAAGCATTTGAATTTCTGATCTCAGAAACCACAAATTCTCTTTGGCTTAAACTAAGACATCGATTGTAAAATTCTGAAAAAATAAAATGAGCAGCTCATCAAATAACTGGTTTGTTTAGATATGTAAAAGCATGAAATGGTCTGCACTAAAGGGAAAGAAATAGCAACATAAAGCACAACAACCAATTTCTTTATCCAGGAGATGAATTTGTTACAGTGTGGCTGTAAAAAAAAAAAAAACAAAACAAAAAAAGCACTCAGTAAAATTCAGCTTTTCTAGAAATGTTGCTTGGGTATGCTTTCCATTCCAATGAAAATTTCCTCACTTCTATCAAGTCTGAGTATACTGAGAAGAAAGGAAGATGGATATACAAATCCTCAAATGACAAGTTGGCCTGATGGTTTAATAGTATTGTTTTCTTTTTCTTCTTTACTCAAAAGTAAACCAGTTTTACTACAAGTTTCAGAACTGTATGTTTATTGCAGTGAGTTAATCAAAACATCTTTAATAATGTATACAATTTCAAGGCAACCAGTGAGGCCTGGGAACTCTCAATGGGTTTATGGAAAACTAGTGCATTCAAAAGCAAGTATGTGATCGGTCAGGGGACACTTTCTAACATAGACGAATAATCTATATTAACTGTATATAAACCAACAATTTATCCATACATTTTTCTGAGTGTATTTCAACTGGCTGAGTTTGCATATATGATGCCAAAGCCAACCAGGCAAGCAAAGGGCCAGTGATCAGGCAGCCTAGACAGATTATCTGGGTGATCTGAGCAACAATGGATGATCATCAAATGATGTCTAATGCACATCATATTATATTTAAACAGTTAGTTGGGGCGCCTGGGTGGCGCAGTCGGTTAAGCGTCCGACTTCAGCCAGGTCATGATCTTGCGGTCTGTGAGTTCGAGCCCCGCGTCAGGCTCTGGGCTGATGGCTCAGAGCCTGGAGCCTGTTTCCGATTCGGTGTCTCCCTCTCTCTCTGCCCCTCCCTTGTTCATGCTCTGTCTCTCTCTGTCCCAAAAATAAATAAACGTTGAAAAAAAATAAAAAAATATATTTAAACAGTTAGCTTTAAAATTTTTTTTAACGTTTATTTATTTTTGAGACAGAGAGAGACAGAGCATGAACGGGGGAGGGGCAGAGAGAGAGGGAGACACAGAATCGGAAGCAGGCTGCAGGCTCCAGGCTCCGAGCCATCAGCCCAGAGCCCGATGCAGGGCTCGAACTCACGGACCGCGAGATCGTGACCTGAGTCAAAGTCGGATGCTTAACCGACTGAGTCACCCAGGTGCCCCTAAACAGTTAGCTTTTAAAGTGTTTCTTTTATACAGACTAACAAGGGGCTACTATGATACACTTACCAATAGGGCCTCAGGAGTAGAGTATCTACATATATGTCTGAAAAAAGCCCTGAAGATATGCTTTGTGCTATAGGAGATTTCCCTACTTTCCATTTTTGGCTTGGTAACATGTTCTCCATTTGAGAAGCCAGAGAACAGGTTTTGCCTTAAGCACAGATAGGATAGCTAGCTGACTTGGTGGCAGTATTTGAACAGCACTGGAAAGGGTCCTTTCTTCTAAATGATTCCATTTATCATTTATTCCTTTATTCATTTACTGAAAAACAAATGTTTACTTGAATGTTCTCCCAGAGTTCTGTATTTGGCCATCTTTTCTCCTTATTCTTCACATTCTGCATATGTCTCCTGGGAATCAGTCACCAATTATAAGCAAAGACCTCCACATTTATATATTCAGCCTAGATCTTCCTTTTGAACTCCAGATCCGTGTGTGTAATCAACTAATGTAATGTAATCAACTAATGCCTACTAATAATCTCCACATGGATGTTCCAAAGAAAACTCAAATGCAATGTGTCCAAATTGGAATTCATCATCTGCCTCTCAAAGCCAACTCCGAATCTTTGTTCCCACTCTCTGTGATTCCCCTAGGGGTGTTCCATTGAAAACCCAAGACTCATCCATGGCTACTCCATCATTCTCACACTACCATCTAACTAACCGCTAATTCCTATTGATCCTACCTCCTTAACAGCTCTCAAATCCATCCATTTTTCTCTACTGCTACTGCCTCTACTTTAGCCCAGGCCAACATCATCTCTCCCAAGTACTAAGTCTTGAACTCCCACTACTACTGCTTCTCCAATCCATTCTCCACTCTGGAGCCTAATTTGTCTTATATGAAATCTGACCATGTCAGTTGCTGTCATCCATCCACTAATGACTTCTCACTGTCCTCAGGATAAAGTCCAGACTCTGTGTGGCCCTTGCCTACCTCCGCAGCTTCATCTTGTCCAGACTTACTGAGAGCTACTTGCAGTTCCCCAAAAGGGCCCTGCTCACTTCGCTCTGCATTTTGCCTTTAATGCCCACTCCCATGCCCTGCTTCCCCCTTCATCACCAGGCCCAGGGTCAGCCCTGGAGTTTCTTCTGCCTACTGGCCTTCTGAGATATCTCTATGGTTGCATTCTGTTCTTACCCCTTTTGTGGCATTTACTACATAGTGTTATCAGGCCTATGTATCAGTCTGCTCATCCAGAGGATAAACTCCTTGAGGTTAGTGACAGTATCTTAGTTATCTTTTTATTCCCAGTTCCTGATACCTGGCAGGTGCTCTTAAATTACTGGCTGAAAGAATGAATGCATTTTTAAGATGAATGTAAGACAAGCCCTGTGCTGGGCACTAGGACAATATCTCTAGCAATAAAAAGATGAAGACACAGACATTATCAAGGATCGGGTCTTATAAGGAAGAGGCATTAAGTGCATGATTATAATATAATGCAATACAATATAATAAAAAATCCATTCAATAGCCACAATAGACATCCATTAATTAATTCAGCAATTATTTATTGAGTTCCAGCTCTGTGCATGGTACTGTTCTAGGTGCTTGGGACACATCAGTGAACAAAAGAGATAAAAATCCCTGCCCTATGGATTTTACAATCTAGCTGTGTTACTTTTTGGCTTCCTATTTTCCAAGGACATCTCACTGTTTTTAGGAAATAGACCAAAGTTAATATCTTGGCTTTTTTCCACACACCACCAGTGATTCTTTACATTTCTAGGGAGTGAGAGGGGTCACAGGCTGGCTATAAGACCCTGATGAAAGCTATCCCCTCTCTCCTCAGAATGCTCACACCTGCAACTCACACACTCATCCACTGTGGCAGGCCATTTGAGGGGGCACCCCCGAATATCTCTCAGTTATAATCACTACCCCCCAGGACCTGGCTCTGCCCAGCAGTACCAACCTCACCTCCCCACTTGACCTCTCACTCTCTGCCCTCAGTTTTCTCAGAGCGTACTTCTTCCTGATTCTAGACCTTTGCATATGATGTTCTTCCTGCCTAAAATGTTCTTTCCCCTCTACTTCTTTGTCTAGTTAGTTCATATTCATTCTTTAGATCTCAGATGAAAAATTATTTCCTCAAAGAAACATTCCCTACCTTAATTCCAATTAAGTTAGGTCCCCTAATCATATGCTCTCAATAGAGTTCCAGGAGATCAGGGACATGCCTGTCTGTCTTGGTCACAACTTGTACATAGTAGGGGCTCAATATATATCTCTTGATGAATAAATAAGTGAATGAATCTTCAAAGAGTACTCTGCCTGCAGTGTAGAAAGGTACTTGAGGCATCAAGTGGATGCAGGGTGATGAGTCATACTGTGGTAGTAGTAAGGGGATAACTTGGGTGACAGTCCAGATGAAAAGAAGTCAACAGTGAGAGAAATATTTAGAAGATAGAGTTAGAAGGATGCCCAAATGGATATGACAGTAAAGAGCAGGTAGGTAGGTCAATAGTGACTCCCAGTTTCTGGTTTAACTAACTTTATGGATGAAGGTACTGTTCTTTCAGGTAGAGAACAATGGCAGTTTTGAACTTGCTGAGTTTGGAGAACATGTGAAACCCCCAAGTCGACACATTGAATAGGCAGTGGTATATGGAAGTCTGGAGCTCGGGAGAGAGGTCTAGGATAAGGATGAAAACTTGAGAGTCATCAGCACATGGAGGCTAATTAA